TATGCCCTGTGACCCAAGGGTACTCGTGGCAGTGCAGCCGAGTGGTTAGCGTGTCAAGCTACCGTCCTGCACTGTCGCGGTTCGAATTCCGCTGAGGTCGAAACTGCAGTCCACTCAGGATGAGAACAACTTTTGGGAAAGCAAGGCTATGTGAAATTCCATGGAAAACGTCAGCTCAACTCATATCATTGTGGGAAAATTCTACTACCAGTCCTTCATCACCTTAGACGAAAAAGGGTGAATACATTTTATATTACTTAAATAATACCATCAATAAATAACGTCTAAAAAGTTTTTTTAAGAATCCAAAGCAGGATTGTTGAACAGACCTACGCCATTTCTTGTCCTGGCTGAACTCTTTCAAAATCCGACCACACATCAGAGCATAACAGAATTTCCTAATTGCTATTTTTTCCTATTCAGCTGCTTAAGGAAAGACGTCAAGCTAAAGGCCTAGCAGTCAACACTTCCTCAGAGCCCGACACTGGGGATCAGTCAAACCATACTCCTTCCTTTGCTTCTGTAACTGCTGCTGAAATTGTCCGTACCATCAGGGACGCGAAAGAATCGGAACTTTCTTTTAGGGACTCGTTAGCAAGACCAGGAAGCGAGGCCATCGCAGATCGTGCCAGTGATATGAGCTGTGGCACTTCTATTAAACACAAAGATGAGATATACGGATGGAAGTCCTCTTCGTCGGCTTCATCTACAAGGCAAAATAGAGTATGAACCAAAATTTAAATGGGAATCTTATTCATGATTATTTATTTAAAAAAGAATTTACTTCTATATGTTTAATATGCTAGTTACTTCATAAATTTGTCACCACCGCTCAGGTTCATAATCACAATTCGTAATATTATTATTAGCAGACACTAGTACCTGCTATTTGTTAATACTTTATATTAACCATTATTATTTTTATCAAGTCACTAGATTTATTTCACCTCTTTATCCTAGGACTCGTTTTATGCCAAATATTACCTTAGAGAATACATTTATTCTATGCAATTTACGCTCGTTCTATTAAGATGAGTCACTTAGCCTACTTAATCGGCCATAACTTCGAGTTGGGAAGTCTCCTAACGCTTCCCGATAGGTCTAGCTGATATCTTGTAATTTAAATTTTGTCAAGTGGGTTGAACTTGTTGTCGCAACTTGGTCTTATTGTCCGGGAGACTTAGCAGAAAGCACCTAGTCGAAAGTTCTCTGCCATAGTAGCTTTCGTAATTCCCAGCATCAGACAGTGGACTTGATACATTCTCAAACGTTTTGCTAGCATCATCAGTGAGTGCTGTTATTCTCCGTACCAAGCTACGAACTCTTCAAAGAGACAAGTGAAGTCAATCCTTCCACCAACGTTCTGCCGAAAACAGTTACACCATTACTCCTCTTTCTGTCCGGGCTTGACTACCTACTCTTTACTATCTTACCAAACTCCCGCCCTATCACAAATTCTCACTCGTGTGCATTTTACTCGTCAAACTGACTTAATATCTATAAACTCAAGCAGCTTATTCTTGTATCTAACATAAGTCTCACTAAGTTTCTGAATATAAGCCTGGTGGAGAAGGAAATTAACCTTATCCGAGTTGTGGGATCTCTTAAGGTCACAGAATTTAGAAGTGATTCCATAACGTTTGCAACAGTTTGAAAAAGTCGGATGCTAATATTAACATACAATTGTCTTCTTTGCCAGGCTGTATTTGGTCCATTGTCTGGCAATTTTACTACCGTAGTTTAATTGAAGATATGGAGACCAAGATGGTTTGACCTCTGGTATGCTCACAGTCTCACTTCGATTTATAGAAGTGGGTTGACCTCGTTGTTGCAACTTGGTCTTGTTGTCCGGGAGACTTAGTAGAACGTACCTAGTCCAAAGTAATCTGCTATTGTAGTTATCATAATTCCCAGAATCATACAGTGGACTTGATACATTCTCAAATGTTTTGCCGGCATCATCAGTAAGTGCTGCCATTCTCCGCATAAGGCTACAAACTCGTCAAAGTGACGAATACTAGAAATCCACTTGTGATTCAGCATTCGACAAGAGATAGGCGTCCACAGTTTGCTCAGGTTACACAGGTTTAATCAAGGAGACGACCCGTGATATCTGCAAGCATGGGACTCAGAACCTAGGCGCTCTGCTTGGTGAGGCGACTGTGCCTGCTTCTATGGCTTTGAAAAATAGCGTCTGGAGTGAAACGCACACTGAAACTGGAACCGAGTGAAATCGGTCAACCAGAAAGATAAGGAACGGATCTACAGAACCATGAGGAGGATCCGGATTGGAGACCCGAGTCGGACTAGGGGGTCGGGGTGAATAGCCGGTGTGATGAGGCCACACTCGATTTGCCACAAAAGGACACACATTTTGACGAGTTGAATGTAAACAAGTGAGAAGTTGTGATAGGGCAGGAGTTTGGTGATACAGTAAAGCGTATATAGATAGGCAAGGAATGAAAGAGTAGTGATAGTGTAACCGTTTTCGGCAGAACGTTGGCGGAAGTGTTGACTTCACTTGTCTCTTTGACGACTTCGTAGCTTGGTGCGGAGAATGGTAGCACTCACTGATGATGCCGGCAAAACGTTTGAGAATGTATCAAGTCCACTGTTTGATGCTGGGAATTATGCTAACTACTATAGCAGAGTACTTCGGGCTAGGTGAGTTCTACCAAGTCTACCGGGCAATAAGACCAAGTTGCAACGACTAGGTCAACCCACTTTTATAAATCGTAAGGAGACTGCCACCATTCCAGAGACCACACCATCTTGGTCTTCATATCTTCTATTAACTTTTGTCATTTTAATCATCTGCTGATAGACCTGAGTGATATGGAAGTGAATTTGAGCTTATGTAATCTTACCTAATTTGATGCATCCGTGAGTAATAGGCACATTTGCTGTATGTGTTATTAATAATAGGGCCCTAAATCCAATTATATATTTGCACCTCACGTCTAGTATTTATCGCTAGTGGAGCATCTGCACCTCACAATCATCATGGATAAGGATGAAAAGTTGTTGAAGAAAAAGGCCTGAGGCTGATTCTGTTTGTCAAATTTTATTCAGTTCTAATGCTGAATTATTACTTTGAAATATTTCCAGAATCTAATCTTTTAGTTATGAAACTTCAGATTTCATTTAGCTCACATGGACTAAACTCCACTCGGCTCCAGCATGACAGCCGATCTTCCAATAATACTCTCATTTTGCCAACCGCTTCAAGTTCGGATAAAACCAAGGCTAACTTACAGGTAGCTGAGCAAGATAATCAACGGCTCAGAGACATTTTAGCAGACGTCCAGCGCCTGGAGACCTGCTGTACAGGACTCCCTGAATTGGACGAAAAGATAAATCAGGAGCCCGAGTTGAAAGACGAATCAAGTGGACATAAATCTGTTTGGTCCGAGATGGGTAAATTTCACTTCTTCAATTTTGATTTTCCCATATACTTATAGGCTCACATGCGTCTTTTCATGAATTGAGCTGATTTATCCAACTGAATTTCACCTTTTTTATATCTTGCCTAATTTGTTACTTATTTGAATAAGGATTGAACCAAAACTGAATAATAATGATCCATATTTTTTGTTGTTTACTCAATACTCACGGCAATACACTTCATACTACTACTTCATGTAACCTACAGCAATATACCAACGCTTCGAGTTTCCAGAATACTGGGAGAGTAGAATATGCTTACTTTTTCGTTTGAGTTTTGTTTCGCATCTATTGCTCCACTATCTTACTCTATATTCGTACCAAAGCGCTCTCTTGTGTGCTTACTATACATATTTATTTGTTTATTTGAGCAGTGAATGACATTGATCGCCTTCTGATGGAAGCTGGGCGAAAAGACTTGCTTCCTCCAACAAAACAAACTCTGGCTCCCTATATCACTCTTGCTCAGACAACCGCTTCTAGCCCACTGTTCGTACTCAACCACAGGCCAGATATCCACAGCCTGCCAGCCCTCATATCCTCTACCGGCTCCATCTCGTCTGACCGGCTTCCAGGTTCCAACTGCTCTTCTCCCCCTATTCATGCGGCTAA